ACTCAGCACTCCCTGTTCTGCTGCCAGCTGGGGATTTGGGAAGGAATCCCTTTGTCTGGTGGCTGTAAGCTGGGGAGGGGTGTGCCTTGGCTCCTGGAGTCGAATCCACCTTTCTGACTACTCAGCCTGGCCCTCCCTGGACCCCCCCCCCCCCCCCCCCCCCCCCCCCGCCGTTCAGGGTTTTGACTCTACTCTCCAGATTTATATTGCTTTGACTGAGGCTTGTCTACAGCAAGAAAAGTCTTCAAGCTTAAAGATATGGTGGTGGGCCTGTTCCCCCTCCCTGCCCTTTGGTGTCTCTTCTCCCCACCTCCAAGAAATTCTCTGGAGTTGGGTCTGGCCCTGAATGTGTGCTGAAGGGAGTTCCCTGCCTTACACTCAGTAGCTTCTTGTTCCATTGCCTAATCCACACTCCCTTCTTGAAGATGGGAAAGCTGCAGCCAAGGCTCTTACTGAGGAGTGTGGGTGGCTGGTTTGATTGAATTCTCAGAGGACTAATCCTTCTCCTGGTGGGACTCTTCTCAGTCCCTTTTCTGCAATGGGGGGGGGTGTCTTTCCTCCTGGGGTCTTCAGCCCCTTCTGCTCCTCTGTCCTTTTTCCTTCAGACACTCTCAGGCTACTTGGCCTCTGTAGGAACTGAGATATCAGCACTTGCAGAAATGCGCCGTGTGAGTAAACGGAGCATAAACAGAGGAATGCACCTCCTCCACACATCCCCATCCTCAAATGGCTGTTTACTTTTGTCAGCTGAAATCATCTTATTCCATCTGAACAGCTCCACCATAGCGCCTCCAGGGCAGGGCAGGGCAAGACACTGCTCTGCTTCTCTGGAGCCCTGTCGGCTTTTTCCAGGCAGCAGCTCAAAGGGGATCAGGATAATTTGGGGTTGCACCCCCAACATGCTTTGCCTTGCTGGCTCCCTGCTGTGCAAGTACCTCCTGCTTTCTGCCCCCAATGCTTTTCGCCTGCTGCATCTGCTGCTGCCCCTTTTTTCTTCCTCGCTCTTCTTGCTACCTGAAATGTTTGCTTCTTAACAAATGTCACTTGCTGGTTTCATGTTTCTGCACACCCTGCTCTGGTTATCCATTTGCCCCCATTCCCTCCTGCCCGCACTGTATGTCTGTAGGGAGAGAGGTGGTCCTCCTGGGTGGATGGATGGGTGGGAAAAATGTAGGGGGCTCGAGGGAGGAAGCACTGCCTGGGTGCCTCAGCTGGCCTTCTTGGCTCCTTTGCAGGACAGCTCAAGCTCTGTTGGATCAGGGGAGTTTACAGGTGTGAAGGAACTGGACGACATCAGCCAGGAGATTGCCCAACTGCAGAGGTAAAGTGTTGTTTCTCGCCCGGGGGCCTCTGGTCTCACTTGATGGGGAGATGCTGACTTTGGGAGCTTTGCCAGGGAAGAGCTTCATCATTTGCAAAGCATCACAGACACACACACCCTGTATTGGAGCAGATTTAGCTTGTAAGTCAGTAATTTCGCCCACTAGGTCCAGGGTCATTGGGAGGGGGAGCAGTGGGGCTGCAATGTGCTGCAGAGACCAGGGATTATGGGCAGCACGTTGCATACCTTTTTAAAGGCCAAATCAGGGATGTGCAGGGTCAGCGCCAGATTATTTACTCTTCTTCCAACATTGAGTTGGAAAGCATTTTTTCCTAGTGTTGTATAAGCAAATTCCATATCTCAGTATCAGATGAACAAAGTCACTTTCTCTATTAAACCCATCAGATCTCTGCCAAAATTATTGCTTGCTTGCTTGTTTTTATTAAAGTGTTTTCATTTTGCCCTGTGTTGTAGAATCTCAATGGCATATGATAAATTCTGTTCAGCTAATTTAAACGTATAATAATGTAAATAGTAAAAATGATTTTACCAGCTTAAAACATGTTAAGAAGTATGACAAATTAAAACAGGACAATTAATATCAGTTAAAACAGTTTAAAACATAACAGATTTGCACACAGAGCCACAGAATCCCCCTGGGCCTCTTGGAGGACCCCCAAATGACCCACCTCCTCTGCTGGTGTCCTGGGTTATTCTAAAAGATGCCCAGATGGGTCACAACACAACATCTCGTTTATTGGCCTTGGCCAGATTTCTTACCTCATGGTGTGTGGATTCAGATATGTCTGTCATGAAATGTCTTCTTGCAGGGAGAAGTATTCTTTGGAGCAAGAAATCCGAGAGAGGGAAGGGGCAATCCGTCAGAAAACCAGTGAAGTCCAGGTAATGGGTAAACGAGGGTAGCAGCCAGAAGCCAGGGTTTGGTGGCCACAGGTGTTGGCAACCAGCCCAGAATGGAGACCCAGCTCATGAATCAGTCTTTGACTGCTGGCATAGCACAGGTTTTCTTGATTGTGGGCTTTTCTAATTGTTGTTACCACTTGGCCTGGGAACCTCACAAAAAAAGGAGAGGGAAAAAGAGAGAGAGAGAGAAAACCCCCACCCCTTTGGTTGCCTCCTCTCTTGTCCTAGAAAAGGCAGTGAGGCGACGGGCTAGTTCACCTCATGGCCTGTTACTTCCCT